TATATAAAGTAGACCTAAAGCTGAGATTTATAGCTCCAAATATGACTAAATTACCGAATAGTGTTCTAATTTGGATTGCACCGATATCTTTTTTCTAATTTTGGTCATCTCTTTGCCCTTGCAATTTAAGTTCTTAAAGTCATCAGATCTAAAAAGGCCATTATCAAGTCCAAATTGTAGCAACAACAAAGAAGCCCGAATCTGTCTTCCAGCCCGAGCACTGTTCTGTATTTTGGCCATATCTGGAGTTCTAGAAGTCCAAATGAGCTGCATTTTTTACACAAGAAAGCTGAGACAATTGCCTACAACTTTCATGTTTGCAACTGGCTCCAATTTTGACGTTATCAATGACGTTTTGGGCAGACAAGAGAAGATATAGAGTGTTACCAAGTCAAGAGTTGGCTACCCACTCATCAATTACTCATCAAATTAAAAGTTTCTAATTTTGGCCTAAAAGGAGACATTTGCCATGCATTTAGGCATCTTGGTTTCTAGATCAAGATCATGCTCTTTCTTTCTTTTTGTATTATTGTAATATTTAAGTTTTGCTTTCATTAATATATTGTTTATGCCTTTCATTTCCTTTCCTTTACTTAGTTAGCTTTTATCTTATTTATGTTCTTATCTTGTTTATTTATGTTTCTCTTTTTCATTATGTTTAGCTAAGTTTATTATGTCAAGGTGAAAAGGTTACACTAATGGTGTAAGAATAAGTATAATGTAAACTTAATATGGACTTTAATGTTTGATACTAACATATTTTGTATTTGTTATCTTGTTCACTCTTTAATACCTTGCTTGTTAAATGACTAATCTTGATTACTTGGCACTTTCATAGCCCATAATGTATGGTATAACCGACACCTGAGCTATGAAAAGAACTTGATTTGTTGTTAACATAAGTTATAATCATGAATACTTAACGAGATTTACAAGTACTAGCATTAATCGAATAAGATGACTAATATAATCATGTTAACAATCTATAATCTGATTGGAACCTCCTTTGTGTGTGGTTTCCAATTCAATAATAAGAGTTTATACTATACTTGTTTGACATACCATTAGTGGAACCTCTAACCTTAACATTTGTTATTATTATTGTTTAATCCTTAAATTAATTTTCCATCTCCAAGTTCTCATCATCTTCTTCTTCTTCTCTTTCTTTATTATTATTATTATTAGTAGTAGTACTACTACTACTACTATTACTATTAATACTACTACTACTTCTACTATTACTATTAATATTACTACTACTATTACTACTACTATTGTTGTTGTTGTATTATTATTATTTATAATTTATACAATTAACCTCCTTATGGTTGAACCCTGGTCTTGCCGTGTTATTTATTACTTCGACACTCCTGCACTTGGGAGAAGACATCAATCTTTTGACCGTATCAAGGACTAAACAGTTTAAAATCATGTTATATTTTTTTAAGAGAAGTTCATAAAGAAGGAGAAGTTTACCTGCTTTATTCTATAAGGTAAGGAGATTGTAATGTTTTGAATTAAAAAAGATATGAAAAGGCAATAAAGTACTTAGAAGCTTAAATAGAAAGTATAATTAAATGAGGGGTATTGTAGTAATTGTATAAAGAGATGATAAATATAAATAAGAAGTAAAAAAAAGAAAAGAGGGATCTGAAATTTTAAGAGAGAACCGATAGTAGTGAAGTGAGAAAGAAGAAGAAGAAGAGAAAAGAGGGAAATTAGAAGGGAAATAGAAAAGAGTTGAAGAAAATAAGTTTAAATGTAAGATTTAGGTTTTTAAATGTATAAATGTGTATAATATGTTTTCTTAAACTTTAAATTTCAGTTTTGATAAATGTTAGGGTTTTGAAGATTTTATTTTTAGTTTAATTGACGAATTAATTTTAATGTTATATAGTTGATTGTTTAGTTGATTATGGAAGATTGTGATGATTTTGAGTTGTGAATTGTGTAAATGATGAATTTTGAGTTAGAAATCTAGAAAGAACAGTAGATTTTCTGTTTAAATTCTGGGTTGGAGGTTGAAGATGACAAAATTTTGATTTGGTCCTCAATTTGTGAAAATTATAGTTTAGTCCCCAAACTTTGGAGAATTACAGATTCATCCCTGAAGCATATTTCAAGATTCTAAACAGAATAAAAGATGAATTATGGGCAGAATTCCTGTGGTCCGAATAAAAGATGAATTATGGGAAGAATTCCTGTGGTCCTCCAATTTGACAAAAATTACAATTTGACCCTAAAAATTTGAAAAAAATTCCAGAATGGTCCCTAGAGCATAATGAGATATTCTGGATAGAATTAAGGATTAAATATGGTCATAATTTTAGTATAGTCATGGATTTATGATATTTTTAGTTTGGTCCTCCAATTAGATAAAAATTACAAATTTGGCCCTAAAAATATGATAAATTCCAAATTGGTCCCTAGCTATAATATTAGCATTTTTTTTTTCTGATTGATTTAATGAATAAATGAGGGTTAAATAGTGAATTATTATCAAATCTTATTATTTGTTTTATTATGGATTAGATTTTGGGAAAACTGTTTAATTTATGGATTTTTAGGAAAATAACTAGTTTAATCTAAAAATATATAGGGTTATGAAATATACCCTTCGATAAGTATATTAAATAAGTTATATGTTCTTTTGAGTCATTGTTGAATATGTCTCCTTTGTATTTAGGTAATCCTGATATTCTACCGCTAGGACGCCAGTAAGATTTTTTCGGTATCAGCTTTGAGTTCTGTTTGTTTTTGAGTCAGGTGTGTGGATAATTTTTCATATATATATAAAAATTATAAATATTTGATTTGTTAATATGAATTGGATCATGCTTCTTGATAATATGAATGTTGATTATTATCCTTATTATAATAAAACATGATCAATTGTTGAATCCGGATTCTTAATATGAACTTGTATATATTTTGAATCGACTTTTGAATTGATAGCTTCTCATTTGATTAATGACATGAGTTGAGCCTTAAGATATGAATATGTCTGTTTGATTATGATTATGATTATGATTATGAATACATGGTATGTCAGTCAAAATACCTATACTAATAGGGTAGTGTTAGTCTTTGTGCACATCATATTTGAACCTTAGTTGGTCGAGGAAGTCACCAACCTATGTGGACTGATCATCCCATAGTACAGAGCCTCATGTTCATTACATTTTGATTTCCTTACGAGTTATACCATATGATATTCTTGTTATGGCCTATTCGAGAAACCTTCTTATAAGAACCTAAAGCCATAATTGTATATATATTCTCATTGTTGTATTACCTGAAGTGTACATATTGAATGTTATCTACTTACTGAGTTGTTGAACTCACCCTCTTTTTATTTATCCGTTTCAGGCTTATAGTTTGATAGCAGGTTACTTTTGTTGGACCTTTAGAATCTACTCTTTTAGTTGTAATTTGTACCTTTTCCTTTATGTCTAGTTAGTACTCTAAAACCATGAAATTATATTAACTCTTGTATTAAGACAATTAAAATTATATTTTGAAGTTAGTTTGTTGTTAATGCCACGTTAAACTCTGATTGAGTTATTCAAAGGATAAGATTGTGTGTAAGTTTGAGTTCACATAGTTATGGAATCTTGAAGAGGAACCTTATCTATGTACCGGTCATGGATTTGGAAATCAGATTATGACAAAAGCTATAAAAGATCAGGAGACTTTGCTGCTGGAGAAGATTAAGAGATTTTGTTGTTGAAAATCTCTACTTGAAGACTAAGTCTTTAGGAATAAATCTGATTTTATTTGATTTGTTTGTTATATAATTTTTAAATTTAATAATATTTGTTTCTAACTAAAATTACATCTATATTTAAGAGAAATCTGCAATCAATAAAATCATCTTCTTTATTTTCTTTCATTTCTGCTATTATTTATGTTCATGTTCTGCAATTAGTTTAAAACAATTAACACATGTAAACATCCTGATCCGTTTAACATTTTTTCTTCTTCTAGTAGAAGAAATACTTAGAATAGTAAAATGACTCATCTTTCAGTCAGTAGTTCTTGATGGGAATTCTGCTGCTTGAGTTGTGTTGTGCCCAAGTTGAGCTATCTTTCACCACTTTAACTATGCTTGGCAGAGCATTACAGCCATAAAGAGCTATATTATATGAATTTTGTAGCATATGAAACAGGAGTTTCCTTAGGGTCATTATCATAGTTTATGTTAATCATCCGTTTCTTAGTTGTTACATGATTGCGACATATAATTTGACCGCAATTACAAAAATTTTAGTTGAAAGAGACTCAGTATTAATTATAACCATGAAAAATAGTTCTTTGACTTGGATTAAAGGGGTTTACGTGTTTTTCCTGCTGACATTAGTTGATAATATCGGTAGTCTTTACTCTGCAATTATTTGGAGGAACGAAGAAAAGTCTAGAGAAGGATGTTAATAGTCAAAATGGCCATGATGTAAGCAATGATGAAATATTACTAATGATCATACCAAGGAAGAACCTTCTATTTTATTTCATGTTATATTTTCTGTTGAAAATTTCGAAATGTCTTGCAAGACTTTTCTATTCAAGCATTTGATCAATTCAAAATTCTGAAAGTTCCACCTCTTCATTTCGGAAACTGCAAAGCAGCTACACAACACCAAATAAATCTTTCAAGAAAAAATAAGTAGATGGTTGTAGATTCTATCTCCAGAAACCATGGGATGCATGGCTTCCTCAAATCTCCCTATTCTTCAAGCTCTCTTTGCTTCTCTTCTGCTTCTCACTCCAAAAGTTTTTTCCTTTGACTGTTCTCGAACTAAAGGCTCATCATTATCTTCACTTGAGGCAAACCTTTCATGGCTTTCTCCTAATCAAGAATTTGCCATTGGATTTCAGAAACTGCCCAACGATAATGAGAACCACTTCTTGCTTGCCATTTGGTTCCATAATATACCTGAAACAACCATTGTGTGGTTTGCTCATACAAAACCAGCACCAAAAGGGTCTACTTTAAACCTGACTGATGAAGGGACGCTTGTACTCTATGATCCTCAAGGAAATAGTTTATGGGAGCCTTCAACAGGGGGCGCAAAATCCATGTGCGCTTCTATGAATGATAGTGGCAACTTCATGCTCCTGGATGGAGACAAAAATCCCATTTGGGAGACCTTCAATGAAACAACTGATACAATCTTGCCTGGTCAAACGCTTAACATGGGAAGCAATCTCACTGCTCGATATTCTCGAGAAAGTTACGCTAATGGGCGCTTCCAGCTACACTTGCAGCCGGATGGAAACCTGGTCCTTTATACTGTAACTATGCCAACTGGAGCTGCTCGTGATGCTTATTGGGCCACCGGGACAATGACTGGCAATTCTAAGTTAGTATTTAATGAGAATGGAAATATTTATGTCACAGATGGCACCCGATGGGTCTACAACCTTACCAAAAATGATGCTGGGTCGAGTCAAGATTTCTACCACATGGCAAGGATTGATTATGATGGAGTCTTTAGGCAATATCATTGCCGAAAGAGCAAAGCATGTGGCTTGAAGTGGAGTGTGGTGAAAAGATTTCCTGAAGATATTTGCTCTGCAATCCTGACGGAGGTAGGAAGCGGAGCTTGTGGCTACAATAGCATCTGTGTTGAAATAAATGAAGAACCTGATTGCTTGTGCCCAGAAAATTATTCTTACTTGAATGAATCTGCTAAAAATCAAGGTTGCAGGCCGAATTTTGAACTGCCAAGCTGCCGGCTCAATGGATGGGAATCAAACCTTGAGCTAGTAGAATTTGTTGAGTACACCAACACAGATTGGCCACTAGATGATTATGATCTTCAGATTGGAAGTGGGGTGGACTTGCAGACGTGTAAACAACTATGCCTTAATTACTGTTTTTGTACGGTTGCCATTCATAATGGTAATAGTTGTTGGAAGAAGAAGTATCCTCTGTCAAATGGAAGACGCAAGCCTAATGTGAATAGAACAGCTCTTGTGAAGGTTCCTAAAGTTAATGTTACACAGCTCTATCTCGTATCACTCCGCCAAAATAACAAGGACCAGTCGACAACGGTCCTCATTGTGTCAATACTCCTAGGAAGCTCTGTGTTCATTAATATCGTTATGACATCAGCTATTTTAATTGCCATATACTTCTCGTATCACAAGAAATTATTGAACATTTCATCGGTTTCAAGTGTTGCTTCGACGAATATTAGAAGTTATGCATACAAAGAGCTTGAACAAGCAACTGGTGGCTTCAAACAGATACTGGGCAAAGGTGCTTTTGGAACGGTGTACAAAGGTGTATTAGCATCCTATCCCAAGAGGTTTGTTGCAATCAAGAAGTTAGAGAAGTTTGAAAAAGAAGGCGAGAAGGAATTTAAGACAGAAGTTAGTGTGATTGGTCAGACTCACCACAAGAATCTAGTCCGTCTGCTTGGTTATTGCGATGAGGGGGAGCACCGGCTCCTGGTATACGAGTACATGACCAACGGTTCCTTGGCAAGCTTACTATTTGGAATCACCAGACCTGATTGGAACCAAAGAGTGCAGATTGCCTTTGGCATTGCAAGAGGCCTAATGTACTTACATGAAGAGTGTAGCACTCAGATCATCCATTGTGATATAAAGCCTCAGAATATACTCCTAGACGAGTTCTATACACCTCGGATTTCTGATTTTGGACTAGCAAAGCTCTTGGTGGCAGAGCAAACTCGAGTGGCCCGCACGAACATAAGAGGCACGGTCGGGTACTTTGCGCCTGAATGGTTTAGTAGAGCATCAATCACAGTTAAGGTTGATGTCTACAGTTTCGGTGTTCTGTTACTAGAGATGATTTGTTGCAAGTCAAGTATTGCATTTGGAATGGGAGATCAAGAGCAGACACTTATGGATTGGGTTTACGCTTGCTACTGCAAGAAGAAATTGGACGAGTTGGTTGAAAATGACGAGGATGCAAGAAATGACATGAAGAAGCTAGAGAGGTTAGTAATGGTGGCTATTTGGTGCATTCAAGA